CTGCTAGTATGACATATGCATATCCGTTTCTTGATGCCATTTTTGTGGGTCCCCTCTTTATTTATTCTCGGATAAAGTAAATGTGATCACATTCACATCTTGGTTTCTTCACGTACCATATAAAGGGGACTTATAAACGAAAATGTTAAGAATTAGTTGGTAGTTGATAAACTAGTCATGTTTGGTAATAATAGTTGATAAGCTAGGCGACAATGTAAAATGACCTAAAAGGACACGTTGAAAAGTTAATTGGCAACATGTAAGGGGTAAAATAATAAAGAAGAAAGTGAAAACAACCCAACCACCCCTAGAGCTTGAAACACTACTTGAAGCAGCATTTTAAAAAGTTTTATATGTAAATATATAAGGGACATAATTGGAAAGAAGAGGGAAAGCCCATGGAGTGTTTTGAAATGCTACTCTACTTCAAGTAGCCTTTTAAAAAGGCAGCTTATGGCTAAACCGAAGTTTTTTCCTTTAATGTTAACGGACCATCATGTGGTGATGAAACGATCCACTGGTTCTTTGCTTTTTTTCTCCGGTTAATGTTAACATGTTGCTGTGATAATTGTAGGAATCTGTTTCTCCTTCAATGTAATACAAAGGGTAAAATAGTAAATTTCACCATTCAGACTGTTTATTCAGCATAACAACCAAATAACAACTTAAGAAATATCATACTATCAGATTTATCACTTTTGACAACTTTATCCATACAGGACTTAATGAAAAACGGACCGAACATCCCCAAAGCTCCAAAAATAAGCTAGCTTATGCCTTATTGTTGTCATACATTACATAGGCTAGGAGTTGTGACTTGTGAGTGATGTTAATCTCGTTATCAACTATTTCAATTGATAGGAAGAATGGAAATGGTCCATTGGTCTGCAAAGAGAGCCGTGATGTGGAATCCCCATACTATCATCCACTCGAGCCATGCATCGGAGGAACTCACAGCCGCCGTTGGATTCCAATTGAGAAAAGACCAACTTGGCCTTCTAGAGTCGCATTGAACTCCAAGGAACTCAAGGTTCATGGTAATTCTTTACTTATCTTATGACAAAAATAATAATTTGGGCTGCTATTATATAAAATCTATTGCATTTATGAAAGTAAAATGGAACACTAAAATAATTTGTGCGCTTATATTTTGTAATGGTTTGTCAGGTGTGCTTTCTGATGATCTTGTTGAAGATGATCTTAACTGGAAATCGGCAGTCCGAAACTACTGGTCTCTACTCTCTCCGCTTATATTCTCGGATCATCCAAAGAGACCTGGTATTGAAGACCCTTCGCCACCTTATAACATGGTGAGAAACGTGTTGGATATGAACGCTCATTTTGGTGGCTTTAATACTGCATTACTGGAAGCTGGGAAATCCGTATGGGTCATGAATGTGGTTCCTACGACTGGGCCAAACCACCTTCCGCTTATCCTAGACCGTGGGTTTCTTGGCGTCTTGCACGACTGGTATGTTCTAGTTTTTCCCATCTAACGTTTTTTATTTCTTTCTTGTCTATATACATACATACATACATACATATATACAGGGGTGGTGGATTAATGATAAGCGGTTATTTTGTTTTTACTTTTTTTTGTTTTAATTGAAAATAGTGGGCCCACAGCTTTTGTAACCGTCGATCGAGAAATCAACGGTTAAGATGTGGGTTGCATGGCTTGTAAGATTTACATGGGTTGCAAATTAACCTTAGCCCATATATATACACACAGTTACACACACACACACACATATATATACACTAACACACATATAGAGGGAGGATCATACGAGAACAATATCTATTTAAAGGAACACGAGAACCAACAAAATCATATATGATTCACTATTTGCAAGTCGCGACCAAAGTCGTCTGTGTGGCTTTTTCGCCTGTTAATGCAAAATCATATGTGATTTTGTTGGTTCTCATGTTCTTTTCAATAGGTACCATTCTCATTTGAACCCAACTTTATATATTTCTATGTTTGCAAATTGAGGGGAAAGTTCATTTAGGAACCGTAAACTTTTTGAGAACCACGGTCCATGACAGCTAACTTTTTGAGAACCATCAAAAATTTATCATGAAGAATAATTCATAAATAGTTGGTTATCAAAATATTAACGTTTCTCAAATGGACCTGGTCCTGCAAATTGAATCCAAATATTTATCTTTACAATGCTTACTTTAATATGTGATTGAAACTTGTAGGTGTGAAGCGTTTCCAACCTATCCTAGAACTTATGATTTGGTTCATGCCGAAGGCCTTCTATCACTTGAAACTGTAAAGCAACGACGTTGCAGCACGGTGGATGTCTTCTTTGAGATAGACCGTATACTCCGCCCAGAGGTATCATAATTAATCGTCAATTTTGTCTTAAAACATTTTACAATTATATATTATTATAAATAAAGTAGCTTATTCGACTAGATTCTTTTTTATAACCATGGGTGTCTGGGTCATCTTATATGCACCCTGACTAAGCTGACCCACACCATCCTGTCACATCATGTGAGACAAATCAGGCCTCCAGAGGCCTGCTAGGTGGCTGGCTTAATAGTTTAGTGCCAACAATGGGCTCATCATAAAGATTTGTAATTCCCACATTGTGGCTGCCAGACTCGAACCCTTGTTTGTTTGTGCAAATATAGGACCATAGAACCAATGTGGATTCGGCTTATTTGGTCAGCTATATATGACTGTTTTGGTGGTGGCTTAATGATATAGGAAGTGGCTTATTTCAGTAAGCTTCTAAGGGGTAACTTTAAGCAGAAAGGCAAGTTTTTAACGTACTCAGCTTATTTAGTCAGCTATACATGACTGTTTGGTAGCGGCTTAATGATATAGAAACTGGCTTATTTCATTAAGCTTCTAAGTGGGAACTTTAAGTAGAAAGCCAAGTTTTTTCCAAACTTGTCCCTCCCAGCTAAACGTTAATAGCACGCTTCTTCCATCTATGTAAGAACCCTCCCAAACAAAAACCTTCGCAGTCTATACAGAGTTTTATCCATACAGGACTTGATGAAAAACCAACCAAACAACCCCTAAGTTATCAGCAATGAAGATAACTAGGTTACGTACATATGCATCCTTTTATCCTAATTCCTAACAAATAAATGCGAGAAATTAAGTTTTAGGAAAAATGAATTTCAGGGTTGGGTGATTCTACGCGACACAGCTTCTCTAATCGAAACAGCAAGAACGATTACTGCAAGATTAAAATGGGAAGCACGAGTCGTAGAAATCGAGAGCAACAGCGACGAAAAACTCCTCGTTTGCCAGAAGCCATTGACGAGGAGACGATCAAACCCGTCCTGAACAGGTGTCCGTTTTTTCTTGATCTTGGAACATTTTGTGATCGATCTTAGAATACAAAAGAGAAAGAGGGTTCGGCTGTAAAATTACAGTAAGGACCAAAAGCAAATCCCCATGAAAGCCGTAAGGAATACGTGGGACCAATGTAATTACACGACGATTATAGGCGAGGCTCGCCAATTTTACACTTTTTTCTGTTGGTTGTTGTCGTTGTAAACTATAGAAAACACATGATGAATTTGGTTATAGAAATAAGCAGAGAAGTTGGCATTGATGTTAAATATATATACAAAGGCTTTATTTATGGTAGTATCCTCTTCATGTTCTTGACCTTATTTTGCACTTTCAAGATTCACTTTGTATGATCTATTGATCTTTCTGCTGTGAATCTAGGACTCATTGCAAGAGATTATATATAATGTCATTTTATATTATTATTTAATTTATGAGATTAACTATTAACAAACATAACTAGTTTATTAGCAAGCTTTTCAGTTAACGGAGGTAATTTATAAGTCAGGAGCTAGCTTATCTGCTAGCGTGCCAAACATCGCCTTGGTGGGTGTGTGTAAAGATGCAGGATGAGCCTAGGGTTCAGAGGGGTCTTGAATCTGGCTCAAAAACATTCTTAAAATGCCTGATTGTCCTATGTTTGGTTAGGCTCAACGGTTCTGTTGATCCTAAAGGTTTAATGAAACCTTGTAATGAACGCGACAAATTTAGCCCCGACACTCGTTAAAGTGTGATTACTTCCTATGTCAAGCTTGGTCATAAGCCCGGTTGTGTTGTCATGTAGATCGTGGGATCCTACTAAATCTCCGTCATGAAAACCTCAAAAAAGTAATAACTGAGGAACACCCTTATAGCCTTGTATCTGGATCATATGCACTTATGTATAAAAGTAAATTAAGTTGTTTTTTTGGTTTATATGCATGTGTCAGGTTCAAGAGAATACCTAAAAATGCACCTGGATCATATGCACTTATGGATAGAAGTAAATTAAGTTGTTTTTTGATTTCTATGCATATGTCAGGTTTTATCAGAAAACCTAAAAAAAGGAAAAACTTAGAAACACCCTCATAGTTCTTCATTTGAACCATATGCACTAATACATAGAAGTAATTTGTAGTATGCACACGTACATAGAAACCAAAAAATAACTTAATTTACTTCTATACATATGTGCATACGGTCCAAATGATGGGCAACAAAAATTTTCTTCAGTTTTCCGTTTTCTTTTTTGAGGTTTTTCCATGAACCTCAATATATATATGTATATTTATATAAGGAATCTAGGAGCCGGTCACAAATCTATGTGTCACATCCATCAAGAATATAGACATGTTATTCATCATAAATGTGTAATCCATTATTTATTACACGCACATATTCATGATCAAATGGTGTACTTTGGCATGTGGATTGTTTTATGTTCTAATCAATAGGTTCGTAATTGAACTTCCCTCTCTTTTTCTCTAATAAAAAAAGAACCAAAGAATTCATCTAGACCGTTAGATTGAGAAGATTTAAAAAATGTGTATAACCACATTTTCTACAAAAATAAAAATATATCCCCTTATTTCTAAATCATAATATACCATCATTTTATCATCTTTAGCTTGTATGCGCTTTATGTGGTTTTTAGATTCATTAATTTAAGTTTTTTAAGCTTACAATATATCAACAAGTCGCTGTGGTGTAGTGGTTATCACGTTTGCTTTACACGCAAAAGGTCTCCAGTTCGATCCTGGGCAGCGACATAACATTTTTTATTTTCCATCAATTTTTTTCCATCAATTTTTTTCTATTATTTTTCTATATTATTTTTCTCTACTACTAGTTCATATAACTAAAACCAAAAATTGAACCCATAAATACAATAACATTATTTGTGGAATATAAATCACTCCAACATTTATTCAAACAAAACAATGAATTTTTTACATTTTACAATCCAAAAACAAATTACAAACCAATGACCAATCTACTAAGCCACCACGGACGACTTCGTTGTTGACCGGTGGTGTGCCCTCGGTTTCACCCCATGCCGCCCACTACTGCCACCACCGCTTCTATGCCTACTAGACGAAGCCAACCCACCACCGCCAGCCCTCTTTGCCGCTCTTCTCCGACCACTTGAACTCCCATTCCCAAGCGCGGCTCTCGTAACTGTTTCTTTGGCAACTTCTCGCGCCTTTTGTGGGTTCACCGCTTGCTTGTTTAGATATGCGAGTTTCGGAAGAAGACTACAAAGTGTTTTTCGTATTTGATCGTCGCTAATATTACTTTGAATCGGATTACCCAATAGATTCAAAGCTTGCATAGAGTTGTAATTAGCCACTAATTGGCCAAGTGCTTTGCATGTTGTAATCTTGTTGAAGCTCAAATCCAAGATTATTAGTTTGAGAAGCCTATGGAGCCCTTCAACATTGCTGATTTTGTTTCCAGCTAGATATAGCTCCTTAATCAGGGTACAATTGGATAACCCTGAAATCATTTGCAATTAAACTGATTAGATTACTGTTTAAAGTAGCCTTATCCATAAGAGGTATTCCAAGATATATCAAGTAGAAATGGTCAAAGTGGGACCCTGCGACGGGTACAGATTGTTCCAGAGGCACTAGACTAGTACAGATTGGCTCTGATACCATGTTAGAACATGTGGAACCTGATGCAATTACTCTTCCAAGAAATGCTTGAGCAAAGATGGGAGGTTTCCATAAAACAAGTGCAAGCCTAGTTGATATAAGAACTCTTGAGAAGAGTAATGGAGGTTTCCATACACTACAACAAAACTGGTTTTATAGGATGTCTAAAATGTCTAAGCGTCCTAATAAATTATTTTATAAGACTTAAGTTTATAGGATAGTATCTTGTCTAAAAGTATTACAATAAGTTTACAAAACAATTTTAATAAGTTTTTGTGGACACTTCTAATATAAAGTGTCATATTAGCTATTTTATACCCTATAAAATTATGAGTTTATAGGGTATTTCTCAAAAGTATCCTGGAAAATAAATATCAAACACTTTATTTTAAACCATCCTAAAAAGCTTGTTAAAACACCCAAAAGTGTCCAATAAACCCATAAACCTATTTACTGTCTTTTGTCTTTTAGATAGAATGTTTTATAGTTTGCTCTTATTAACCTATGTTCTACCAAGTATTCTATGAAAATGCTTAGACACTATACATGTCCTATAAAACCAATTTTCTTGTAGTGATAGAATCGTTGCAAGTCTAGCTAATATAGGACTCCAAGTATGCATGGCACTTTGGAAACCGAAATAGTTTTGGATTCAAAAGATAAGTCGAGTTGCTTACCTTGACCGATTCTTGAAATTCGGTTGTAACTTAGGTCGAGAATCCGCAACCGAGTGAGCTCTCTTAGCCCCTCGATGACGCTAATCTTGTTTCTTGAAAGATCAAGAATGTGAAGACCTCTAGGCAACGACCCCGGTGTTATATGAGCTGCAAGAACATCCAGAACCCAACAAATTAGTAATCTTTCTTAAACCCGTCAATCAAAAACGAAATCTTGGATAACAGGTTGTCGACTGACCTATTGAATTCCCGGATAAGTTTACGGATCGGAGACTCGAAAAAGCCGAAATCGAAGGGATGACCTTTAGTCCGATACCAGAAATGTAAGCCACCGTTGATGACGAGTTTAAAGAATGTATCACCCGATTAGCGTATGCGATCTCTTCCGGAAGATTTGCGTTTCTGGCTGAATTGCTTGATGCCAGCTGCTTGCCATTATCCGGTGAGGGCGGAAACGTAATTTCACTCTCGTCTTGTTCGTTAGAAATTTCGAAAACGGGCTTGGTAGGGATTTCTTGAACCCATTCGTCAACTCTCGTCAATGGCGATCCACCGGAAAAGGCCATCCACTGATTCTGCGGCCATAAACCGGAACTTCCGTGGATCGCATTCCATCTATCGTCTCCATTGTTCGCCTTTTCTAATTTCATTGATTTCGCCTTCGATTTCGATTTGTCGGTTATTCGGTTCGGTTCCAGGGTATCCGACGAATACCCGCCTTGTTGATTGTTCGCAAAAATCCGGGTTTGGATCCCTTTAACAGGTTCGTGTAGATTTCTATGGCTCCACAAGAACAACTTCCACCATAACCGTCTGCTTTTCGACGGCAAGATTTGACTCGAAGAACACTTTCTCAAGATCACTTTATCCGCACTACAACGACTCGCTACGGAAACCGGACTGATAGAACCGTCACCACCGAGCCTCCGCAAATCTTCGTAAGACTCATTAGGAACGATGACACCCTTCGAGACCGGAACCCTTTTCGTTTCGAGATTCGAACACGACCGTTTTAGCTTCGGAGATGCTAAAAACGACCGTTTCGGAGCCCCGGGATCGCTTAAATGTCCGTCGTTTTTCGTCTCTATATCGGAAGAGTTGTGATGATGGTCATCAAGATTCGGGCTTCGGTATTCATCTTGTTCTTGAATCGGCATTTCAGTAACTCGAAGGTTTGGGTTGGAATACGAATCTTTTTCGTGTTCGTCTTCGCCTTCGTATGCTACCTGCTCTTCTTCTTCTTCTTCATCTTCATCTTGTTGTTGTTGAAGAAGTTGAGGTTTTAAAAGGCTTCCATGACTAACCACCTTGATATTGCAGGTTGAACTATTGGGAATGGAGAAGGGTACATCCACATTGAATGTTGACTTTGACTCTGATTTAGATTCAAGATCATCTGTATGTACAGGTTTCTCTAGATGTTGTAATCTCACTTGGAGAATCTTCTCATCATCCTTATGTTCCTATGAATGTAAATAAAGAACAAATAGTGAGTTAATTACCATACTCCCCCTTTGACTTTTGTGGTCAAATTTTAAAAATTCCTTTTGCTTTGTAGGAAGAATAGAAAGTATTGTTGACTCTTTTTGTGTGTTTAGTTTCTAGGATTTAGATTGGATTATTTATAAATTAATTGTTAAAAACTTATGAAAATAATTAAATGATTTTAGAAAACAAATATTTTAAGTTTTTTTTAAAAAACATTATTAACACAAATCATATAAAATAGCTTGAAATCTTAGGCATCCTTTTGGAGTTTCAAGTCTTATGTTCGAGGGATTTCAATCAAAGCAATACTGCAAACTAAATATAGGACTGGAATGAATTAGAAATCTATTGCTCCAAAATCCATTCAATTTCTGTAAATCAAACGGATCCTAACTATAACAAAAGTGAATTTATATGATTTCTAAAGTGCTTAGGCGTCCTAATAGAGAATATTCAATACAACTGAAGTTTATAAGATCAAACTGTAAAACGTCTTACGTAAAAAGTGTTACAACAGGTTTACAGAAACTTTTTGGGTGTTTCAACAAGTGTTTTCTAAGACACTTCTAAGTAAATTGACATATTAGCTATTTATAGTGTCCTATAAACTCGCCTTTTTAATTTATAAGACACTTATGCGTATAAACTATTTTTCAAATAATGTCGTATAAGATAATATATGATAATGTACTTCAAAAATGCCCGAAAACCTATTATAACACTTTAGATAAGTGATCTTCGAACTTAAATCCTATAAAGTGTCGTGTTAATACACTAACACATTTCGGTGATCCTATAAAAACCCAATTTGGTTGTAAAGATAGAAAATTACAAAACAAAAGAAGTTATTCAACCATATTGGAATACATAATGTTTGGGGCCTAATCTTTTACCACAATTGAACAATCACATACATCCATATGTATACAAAAGGTTGGGTTCAAGAGACGTTAACATGTTTTTGTAAGACCCGTAAAACCACAAAATAACACTAAAAATTCACAGCAAACACTGTGAATTGGTCTAAAGTCTAGATATATATAGAGAGAGAAAGGTTCAAATGAGAAGTGCTAAAAAATACGAAGTAGAGAAGTGACCTCCACCACTCGTTCGGTTAATAAAGTTGGCTTCGATCGGTTACGGTGAACGCGATCACGGGGGATTGACGCAATTCATGGGAGGGTAGAGATTATTAAAGGAGGGACCCGGTCAAAACCGCCTTTATTGAGAGGTGAAGATCACTTCTCTAATTCTATTTTCTAGCACTTCTTATTTGAACCTAATACTATATATATATATATATATATATAATATTGGGATGCCAACGGGGCTAGCCCGATTCGTAGAGGGGTCATCTCTTTAGTAGAAGTCCCAGCTCCCAGATTCGAACATGGGCAGAGGCGTTTCTAATCTGACTGAGGTGTATACTAACAACTAACTAAAGTTGTCAGTTAAAAAAATAATAATAATAAATAATAATATTGGGATTGAAGGTATGAGATGATGTATCTAACCTTGATTTTCTTGTTTCTTGCTGGCGATGAGGTAAAGCAACAAAGAATCGACATGGAATTGAGAAGAGAATTAGATAGAAAAATATATAAAAGAAAATAATAAAAATCGAAGTAGAATGAATTCAAATAATATTAGCCATAATCAATGGGCAATTGGGAAAGAAGAGAATTAGGTAAAGATAGAAAAGGATGATGGTCTGAAGAAGCAGTAGCAAGGCTTTTGGAAGAAGAAGAAGAAGAAGGTGGTGCAGCGGTGTTCACCACCGTTACGGCGGCCAGAGTGGCGGCGGATGATAAAGAGCTACGGTGGTCCGGCGGTGGAAGAGGGCGGAGGAAACTAGGAGAAGTGGTGGTGAATTAGTTAATTAAAAGCATAATTTCCAAATATAATTGAGAAGGTACGCGCATAGTACACGCTTCTTTTCTTTTCTCT